CCCCAAAACCCCAAAACCCCAAAACCCCAAGTCATTAAATGTGCGTTGAAACTTTACCTCAATTGCCAAATCATGAAGTTAGCATAATGAAGAGGCACAAAGTTGTTAAGGTTCTCTTAATTGTTAGGATGAGTATATTAAAATATTCACACAGAAATTCCCGATATTGTAATTCATCCTTCGTATGATAGTACCGTCTGCACTCATCGGGACTATAGTGGAGATATTTACTTCTTCTAAAGAGTCATTCAACTTAGACTTTGCCATCTTCTGCATGAGTCCTTCTAAGAGCTGGTTGTCTTCTTCAGGCTGAACAATTGTGCACTCACTAAGATCTAGTCTCCTGATTAATGGGTGAGCATTATCAAGGTAGTCGAACCCATTGATAGTAATGCTTCATTGATGGAATCGCAATGTTGCAGACTTTCCACAGCTCATTAGGATTTTCCCAAAAATGCTATCGGATGTACCAAAAGCATTTTTGGATTCCTGGATTGTAAAGTATGAAATCTCTACTAATTGAGAGACTTTACTAGTAAACCTCAAGATGCTTCTGGCATATAAACTAAATTTGACTGAAGCGTCTCTGTCAGCTTTAAAAATGAACCCTTTGAGTTTGTTGACTCTGATACTTTCTAAGAGATTGATAAGTTTGCTGTCCTTCTTCTTTATTCTGAAAAATGAGATATCCATCAACTCGTCGACTTTTGGAGCTAACTTAGAGAGCTTTATCATTGCTTGTTGCTCTTCTGGTTCTTGCACTAAATGACTGATGTATTTAAAAAATTTAAAGTTTTTATGCACAGAATAATACTGCTCATTCACTGCTCCCAAGTGGTCATGGTCCATCTGAGCCTGGTCAGACCACAAGGCATACTCGTTGGTAGCTAGCCTATGACTGAGCTTTGGCTTTAGAGGTTGCTTGGTTTCCATTAATAAAATATTTCAACTAAATTAGTTGATGTAGGGGTTTTGGGGTTTTGGGGTTTTGGGGTTTTGGGG